AGGAATAATTCAGTATGTACAAACTTTTATCATCTCAGAATTATTATTATTATTATTTTAAACACATTGTTATCAGCAAAATACTGGTATTCGGCCATAACAGAAACATTAAATCGGATATCAAAATCGGCCACAAGTGTTCATATTCGGTGCACATCCCTAATTTTCATTTCTACCAGCTGTAATCTCAACGGTTTTCATTTCCTGTCAATCTACTCGGAATACTCTATGACAAGTTTTTAGATGTTTTTTAGGTTCACTTTGCCGTTGGTTAAGAATCAAAACACAAAGAATTCCCTATGTACATAAGTTTCAAATAGTCAACTGCATGAAGGTTGGTTGAGTTCTTTCTGGATGCACTGTGCCACTAAAGCTGAAGTAACTTGCTGAGACTTAATCTTGCACAGATAAAAAAGGAGACTCTGGAAACAGGGAATAAGTCTAAATGAAAACATTGCTGTAATAGAAAGTATTATTAATAAGAAACAACATGATAAGAACTGTTACGTCTGCTTCCTCTCACAGAAGAGAGCTCCAGAGGCTTCTGCCAGGCATCATTATAACCAGCGTTGATCAGCAGATATGGGAGTGTGGACGAGGGAACAGAAGAGCAGGAAGTTAGCTCCTCTTACTGCTTCTTGGTCTAACTTTGTCCAACGATTTGAGATGGGACAAAGACACCAACCATACTGTTAAGGAAGCTCTCCAACGTCTATACTTTCTGCGGCAACTTAGAGAATTTACAAATAATTCAAATAACTTTTGCTGAACTTCTACCGCTGCACCATAGAAAGCCTGCTTGCTGGTGCGATCACCGTGTGGTTCGGCAGCATCACAGCCAAAGAAAAGAGAGCTCTGAACAAAGTGGTACGATCTGCTCGGAGGACTGTGAACCAAGAGATGCCCGTTCTGGAGGCTCTTTATGAGAGCTGACTCTTAAACCGAGCCTTGAGGATTGTAAATGACTCCTCTGGTCATCCCAGAACCTCCCTTATAACCTCCCTCAGAAGGTTATAAGACTGAACAGAGCACCCTGAGATCTGCTTCTCTTTGTAGCTCCTTCGTAGCGTCTTAATAATACTTTGAAGAGTTTTATATGTGCCTCACTGTGTCTCGCTATTTTTATTCTGCTTGTGTGTGTGCTTTGTTGTGTTGGTGCCCCCGGTGTCTCCTGTTTGTATTCCAATGTAATTTTTTTCTGCAAATGGCAAATAAATTGATTCTTCTCTGATTCTGAATTGATAGCAACAATGTTGGACAAAAATTTAGACTTGGCAGTTTTAAAAAGGACCTAATCTTATTTTGTTGGTAAATTGTGGTCTTTTTTTTGTGTTAAATAAAGCTCATTTTGACAGATCGTTTCTATCAATAATTATCATGCAAAAAGAAATTTGCAGAAAAATTGGAAGTTGGACTTTGTTGATATGCTATTTGTAAGCCATAACGTTGTATACGGATATTTGTTATTCAGTGATGGATAATACAAGTCAGGGGTTTTTATTTATGAGCCCTTGCGTACTTGTTATGACAATAATTCTGATTTTGAGGATTCTGACTCGGTTCAGATGTGGAGAAATCTACAAGAACATTTGCAGACATTAGGGCCGTTTCCACGGGCTGGAGTCATGGATCTGATTGTTGTGGTACGCGCATACCCACTGGCGGCCAATCACGCTGCGGCAGAGCCTTAATTACGTGAACTAGTTTCACCTGTCGCATCTTTCTCCTCACCTCTGGCGTCCGCATGCAGCGCAGCGGTACTCGAAGCAGAGCCATGGAAAAGGCTCATTAGACCGCCACCAAAAGAGTAAATCATTGCTTTAATAGACGTGAGCCGTTGGCTTAAATGCTGCGTGGCGATCTTCTTGGCTTCTTGTTCTGGCGTGCGGGCCGTCCTTTCTGTTTGGCGGTTGAGTAAATTGGACTTGCGGTTTCTGTGTTAGCGCGCAGGCTTACTCAAACCTGGCAGCTGTGCGGGCTTTTGGGCTGCATTTGTTCTCTGCAGCTTTGCATACTAGAATATTTCCATCTTGTAGTGTGCCTTGCCTGAGTACAGGGCACCTTCACGCTGCAAAATTTAGGTATGTATGGTTCTACAGTCCATCTAGTCTAGGTGTATCTTTCTCTCTCGCTCTCTTGCTCGCTCTCTCTCTCTCTCGCACTTTCTCTTGCGCTCTCTCTCTCGCTCTCTCTCTTGCTCTCGCCCTTGTTCTCTCTCTCTCTCGCACTCTCTCTCATATAGTTCTAATACATCTAATTCTCACCAGCCTAGATCCGACGGGCCTCCCCTTTAGAGCGCTCACCTTCAGAGTGGCCCCTTCAGCGTGGCTCCCCGTTAAGAGTGGCCCCGTCAGCGTGGATCCCCTTTAGCACGGCTCCCTCTGGGGCTTCCGTCCCTTTGTGACCACCCCTGGGCCACACTCACCCAGCGCTGTGGGCTGTCGTCTCCCTGGCCCTTTAGACCTACGGCTAACCAGAGTGCCAGTAACCTTTGGCACTAGAACTGGGGCGCTCCCTGACAGACTGGTAATGTGGGTCCCTTTCTCCTGCCACTAGGATGCTTAGTGAAGGTCAATGTAGTAATTTTGTTGGGTTATGTTTTTGGGCTATAAACTTATTTTAATGTCCGTGCAAAAGTGAGAATGTTTTTAATGACTCGTTTAACCAAATTGTGAAAATGAATAAATATTGTTTTATAATACTGTCTCTTGTGCTCTTCAGTCCAGTGGGTGGTAGACGGGGACAGAGCGAGAGGAAAAAGAGCAAGGTGTATAAGATTAGCGTATTAACATTACGCGAAAAATAAATGGTAGATTTACGATCAGGAAACACCCTCATGGAGATAACGGAAACGGACACGTTTGGACGGATACGTAGTCCGTTTTACGCGCCCGGTGGAGTCGGGGCCTTCCTGCGGGGGTTATTTTGTGTCACTGCTTATAACAAGTGGTTATTGGTCCTGGGGCCATCTCCCGTTGCGTAAATTGGGCTATTATCTAAAATATTGATTATATTCTGTTGTACCCTACCTACCATATCACCGCATATGGTCCGACCGGGTCCGAACCGGTTTGCGAATACGGTCAGTTTGAGCTCGATGGTGCCACCCGAGTGAGTGTAAATAGCTTAAGTCTTAGAGAAGGTAGCGCTAAGGACGAAATGGATATGGAATGGATATCACGGACATAGTAGTGCAGAGAAAAGTTAAGAAGCGTAAAAGTGACTACCGTGAAATGAAAGATCCCAGCCGTAAAAATGGACAAAACTGAAAAGTCTGGAGGTGGTTTGACAAGATGGATTAACGCTATTTTTACGGACATCAGCTAACACGCTAACACCAGCTAACACGTCAATACCCGCAACACCGAAAGAAAAGCCTCAACTCTATGTCCCAGCTCCAGATGTTGAGTTTGAGAGAAATGGTGAGTGTCTTCAATCAAATGCAAACATATTTGGTCTTATTCTGAAAGTGTGTCTGTGGTTCTAAATCTAAAACATAATGGTATGTGTCATATCTATATCTTTTAGTAAACGTAGTTAGAGTGAAACATGGATTCATGGTTCAATGACAGTTATTGTGTTTTCTGCTGAATACTGGGTTGAAATTTGTAAAATTGGTTTTAGTTGGAGCTTGATAGAACTAATTTCATGGAACTCGCGCTGTTGTCTTCTCTGTTTGTTTGGACTGTCGCCTTCTCTGAAAAAGTCAAAGATCGTAGGGACTGCTGTTTACACTCTTCTTTTGGTAACTCTCATTGCTGCATCCCGAGGCCATAAAAAATACACCCATTTTAAGGTTTATTTGTGTCAAACCGGCAGCAGGAGCAATGCCATAAACAGTAAAGCGGGAGCTGCGACCCCTACAAGTATGTCATCATTTTTCTGGCCAATCAGAGGCGTTGATATTAAAAAGTTGTTTTACTGATTTATTACTTATCTATAACACATTGCAAAAGTGGGAAATACATGTTTTTAATGTGTTTTATCAGATGATAAATAGTTTTTAATAAGGATAGTCCCTTTTTAACTGCTCTCTGATATGACTGTAAACTGTCTTTCAGCATGTCCAGCAACACCTGCAGACGGTCCTTTTGCCAGTGACTATCCGCACGTCTGCAGATCGTGCCTCAGAGCCCGTGTAGAATTATTAAGCCAGGGCTCAGCTTTAGGCTTTACCCATTTGACTCTGGGCGGGGCTATCAAGGTCAATAATGTTTGAGCAAGTAGAATTGAATAAAGATACCATGTCTTCCACAGCTAAATCGCTGCAGCAGCCGTTGTTCAGCTTAAAGTCAGAGAAAGCCAACAAAAATGTGACTGCAGTTTGCGAGTTGCATGTGGGCACTTTGCGCACAGGGGCACATGGTTTAATGTTAGATTTTGGAAGCGTCAGAGTAAAGAGCACGGCGTAGTGATCTGAGATACCGGTGTCACAGATATCAATAATCTCCAGATTCAGACCAAAAGACAGCACAAGATCAAGCATATGTCCCTTTCATGTGTTGGGCCAGGGACTAACTGTGCCAAGTTAAAAGTTTCTAAAACATTTAAAAAGTGGTTTAGACTCACAGCACACATGGATATTAAAGTCACCAGCAATAATAAAAAAGTCAGCACGAGCCCTGTAACAAAGTCTGTGAATTCCTGAATAAAATCTTTATGAATTTTTGGAGGACGATAAAGAAAGGCACAGATCATTGGAGTGCGTTCAAGTATTAATGCTTGTAGTTCAAAGCTAGAAAAGCTTTTAGATGGAATTTGCCTGCATGGAAACGAGTCTTTAAACACTGTGGCAGGCCCACCTCCCCTACCACTTGTACGCGGGGGGCTAATGAATGAATAGCCTGGTGGAAGGAGTTCGTCAAATGCTGTGGACTCACCAGCTTGGAGCCATGTCTCTTTGAATAAAGTAATATCCAAATCCCGTGTCGCAATCAGGTCGTTGAGAAGAAAAGTCTTATTTGTTAGCGATCTAACATTCCTGAGGCCCAAGCAAATAGTTACATCCTCGTGGTAGAGCGAGGAGGAGTGGACGAGAGGCTGGAGTGCACCGAGATCCACTCTGTGTTGGTCGCGTCCTCGCCGCCTGAAGACGGGCGTCTCTGCGCGGCCTCTGGGGCAGGGAAGATGGGTAGAATCCAGCACAGACCTGGGTAGAGTCTGCAAGCAGAGCCTCCGCAGGTGAAGCAAGAAGAAGAGCCGTATGATTTGGACAATCTCAATTTGACCAAAAGACCAGCACCTTTACCGAGCCGTCTGGGACGCTTTTTCTGCATTGGCACTGGGACACTGGACAGGTGCGGGGGTAGACTCCACCTTGTTTGTTCAGAATCACATTTAGCAGTCCAGCTTTGTGCAATTCGAATATCAAAAAGAGTTTGTCGATCATAGACCAATAGAGCAGATACATATTTTCGACAAGATAACGACGATGTATTAAAATGAATAGAGTTGATAGGCGACCGGCCACACACACTGGCGCCATCTTGCTCTAATTAAGATCAGGAGCAATCCCAGGTAAGGAGCACATTACAACACCTGTTGACATTATTGTTAGCTAGTTCCCTTCAATAACAAATAAAAAGTTATTTTAATGATACCTCCCTGGATCTTTGGGGAATAAATGCTACAGTATTTGGTTAGTTGTATTTTGGTAGTGGCTGCAGTTGTAAGCACAGCAATGTTTTTGTTGTTTGTTGTCTCTTTAGTGTAATGGAAACACACTTTTTAGCATAATGGAAACACAACCAAGTGTAGTAGGTAGAGTAGAGCTGGTGGAAACAAGGCTAATGAATCTGTTTGTTTTATGTATACAAATGTTCCTCTTCTCTTGAATAATAACATCAGAATCTGAATCATATTTATTCAGTCTCTTTTTCAATTAAGCTTCATTCTCTGTCTTATGCCGCTTTCAGACAGGACTAAACCAGGGTTGACAATGGGGGACTCTGTGCTTGTGAACATATGCATTCTTATGCTCCTGTGACTGTATACAACTGCTTTGAGAGTATTCGCCGATGCGGAAGTACCGTTTAATAATAAAATAAACGTATGGCGCACCTCCGTGAACACATTCTGCTGTCTCTGGAAGGTCTCTGGACACAGAGACGCTGCAGTGAACTTTACTCCGATAGCATCGAAGTCCGCCCGCTACTTCCACCACTTCCAGTGGTGCCACTTCCGGCGGGTGCCACTTCCGGCGGGTGCCACTTCCGGCGGGTGCCACTTCCGGCGGGCGCCACCGCAGCCCAGGACACCCCTGCGCCTGAAAATTAGAGAATGTGCGTCTGGTACGCGAGGCGTCAGCGTTCCAGGGTTGGCGGTCTGAACGCGCCATTAGTTCCGGTTTGGTCTTTGTCTCAGTTCAGTTTCAGTCTCTGCCTCAGTTTAGCTTCGGTCTGTGTATCAGTTCAGCTTTGGTCTCTGTCTTAGTTCAGTTTTGGTCTCTGTCTCAGTTTAGCTCCAGTCTCTGTTTCAGTTCAGCCGCAGATTCTGTCTCAGTTCAGCTTCGGCCTCTGTCTCAGTTCAGATTCTGTCTTTGTCTCAGTTCAGCTTAAGTTTATGTCTCAGTTCAGTTTCAGTCTCTCTCAAAGCAGCCATGTTTGTGGACTGAAGCAAAGGCTCCAGGATTCAGCCAGATTTCCAGTCTTCAAACTTGCTGACTACACAAGAATCCTTCTGATTTCTCACATGCATATACAGTATGTTGCTCGACCAGTGGTTCTCAAACTGTTGGGCAGCTCCTCCCTGTAGTGTTATTTAGATCACTGGTGTCCAAACTGAGGTCCGCGGGCCAATTGCCTCTGTGTCATTGTGTGGCCCTTTGCCACTATCACACTATCACTATCACAAAAAAAACACATGTTCACAGTGCCATTCACCCAACTTCAGCTCAGCCAATACAGACATTTTGTACATCCCAGTGAAGCTCAGAACCTCTGGAAAGTATGTATTTATAGAAGCTGACATTTAGTTTTTGATAGTCTCACAAAATTCCCTTAATGGCACTGGTAAAGCTGGTGAGATGGTAATTTGTCATTCAGCCAACTTCAGCTCTGTTATAGCTCATTATAAACCAGCAATATATACAGCCTGAATCCAGTCAAAACAGTTTAATAATCTGTGTCATCGGCTCCTGGAAAGGTCTTGTTGAACTAAAATGTCCCTCTTACTATAAAGGATCTGAGAAACAGCATGGACTTCAGCAGGGCAGTATTTACAGCAACCACAATACTCAAAAGCTGTAGGGCTCAAATGCCCTGAGGAAGATCACATTGGGGCCGGTCATGTGACACCAGAAGTAGCACACATGGTAATGTATTTGAATTAGGGCTGTCAAATGATTAAATTTTGTTATCAAGTTCATTACAGCTTAAAAATTAATTAATCATAATTAATTGCATTTCTAACTATCGGCCAAATTATGCCATATTTTTCTGTAAATGATTGTTTGAATGGAAAGATAAATGACAACATAGTGGACATATGTACTGTACATTTTTTTAAATAAAAATTTAAATCCATATAAAATGGCATTAACATAATTAACATTCTGTCTTTCTGTAGTAGACACAGACCAAAACTATTGTTTGTTACAGGGATGAGGGACATTTCAAAACAGTCTGAGGCAGAATGCCATTAAATTTGTTTGATTTGCTCACAACATTTTACTTTTGCGCACAACCAAAATGAACTGGTAGTGCAAGCGAAAAGTTACCCCAGCTTTAATTTTGCGAGTGCATTTCGGGAGAAGACACGGAGGAGACTGACGCTCCGTTGTCCAAGGTCAGAGGTGCATACACAGGTTACGCACAAACCAACAAGCAGAGAACAGTCCTGTGTGCGGGACGTTACGGCGGCGCCGTTCACCGGGTTGTTGTCAAAGCGACAGCCACTGGAGGTGGGAACCTTTGTCCAGAGTGGCCGCAGCCGCCCCGGGTCAGAACCCTGCGGCCACGGAGGATGCAGACTCCCGTTCCGTACATACTGCAGACAGCAAGTACCCCGCGGTCCAGCGCGTTTTCTTTTTTAAATTGAATTCCCAGCGAACCTACCTACTCTGTCGTCATCTACACACGCATGTGTCTGAGCCATTCTGAGTGTCTTTATGGGATGCATGGGCGGGTCATTCCTTAAATGCGCCAATGCGTTAATCAAATCAATTTACGTGAGTTAACGCGATACTTTTGACAGCCGTAATTTGAATTTATTTGTTTTTGTGACAGCGTGTATTAATGAACAGTAGAGCTGTAAATATACCAGATTGCAGCTATGTGTCTCCTTTCCATCCGTAGTCTCACCTTCACACTAACAAACACAGCCTCATTCAACCCTCACCTATTGCCCATGTCTTTAGTGGTAGGGAAAACCGAAGAACCCAGAGGAAACCGGAGCAGACATGGGGAGAACATGCAAACTCAGAAGGGCCTCGAGATGGAAGCACAAGTGCTAACCACTGTGCCACCACAAAGCCAGTGACACCAGCAGGACCCCGGCGACCCTCTATCTGGTCTCTCTGGTGTCTCTCGCTCACTGGGTTCCCTCTCTGTCTGGTCTTTCGCTCTCTGGTCAATCTCCCTCTCCGGTCTCTTTCTCTCTCTGGTCTCCCTCTGGTCTCTATCTGGTCTCCGTTACTATGCTTGTGTTACACTGAAGCCCAGATTGGATACATGTTTACACCACGTTTATGTACTGTATGTGGCTCTTGGGGTTTATGCACTTTACTATGCAGCATTGCGGATGATGTAAAATTCATATTGTTGCGGTCTGTTCATTCGCTTTGTGGCTGCATGTAAAGGCAGTATTAGAGACAAAAATAGTATTGAAGCGGCACTAACTGACTTTGAGAAATTTTTGAATTAGAACGCTGAGCTCGCGTTCTCTGCTCGCCCTCCCCGCACGGAGCTTTCGGCCCCCTCTACCCCCCCCCCCCCCCCCCCCCAGCCTCTGCTCATGCTAACTGTATATGGAGCTCACGTCTCACAATATGGACACATTTGAACGTGGATGGCGTGACCATAGAATGATTGAACCGGGAAGCACGCAGGAACGAGATTTTCGTTTGGATGGCTGTTTCGCTGTGGAAGCAGTAACCGGTAACGAAGACATGGGAAGCTTCAGGTTAGGGTTAATAATAAAATAATAAAATAAAATGACACGCCAGCACAAATCTGCGCTACCTTTTCTTCAAAAGGACGTACATCCCAATGCATTGCAATGGATATGGATTGAATTTTCCTAATGAATACCAAAAAAAAGTCAAGTTAGTGCAGCTTTAAGTGATCAGTAACGGGTTAGCCTTTAGCCTCCAGCGACTCCTCTCTGGCCTATTGATGTTGGGTATTCTGGGACATGGGCCGACCTCCGGTGGTATAGAAATACTTTGCAGACATACTACACTTGATAACTTCTGATATTTCATTAAGAGTTCCTAGGTTACTAGGATGCAGTACCAGATATTATCAAGTGTAATGGAAACACAACCAGGTAGAGTGGAGCAGAACAGAGTAGAGAAGAGTATAATATAGTAAAGTTGAGTTGAGCAGAGCTGAGAAGGGATGGTGAAATGCCACGTACAGTATCTCCGGTCAGGATCCATGTTTGACCTGGTGTCTCTCTCTGGTCTTTCTGCTATCTCTTTTCTCTATATCTGGTGTTTCTCTGGTCTCTGCTCCCTTTCTGTTTTTTCTCTCTCCTTCTGGTCTTTCACTGGTCTCTCTTCTCTCTCTATAGTCTCTCCGTGTTCTCTCTCTGGTCTCTCTCATAGTTCAGTTGTCCTGACCTGTGTTTGACCTGACTGTGTTGTGGAAGCCTGTGTTTCTGTCTGTAGAGCCATGGATGGCTCATGAGTACAGGTTCTCAGCCTCTCAGTGTTTGTGTGTGTCTTGGACCAGCGCCAAGCCGAGCCACCACACCACTCCATCCTCTCCCCGCCTCATTACCATGTGTATAGGGCCCGTCCAATGGGCTGCATACTAACAATATCTGTGTAAAGGCCGCTGACAGTCTACATTGTGAGCATGACAAGAGGCGACGATTCATCTGGTAGAGGGACTCTCTTACTACATCAGTTCTCATGGTACAGAGCTGTAATATTTCTCAAAACATAGACTTTTTCATTTTTAACTTTCTCTGGCTTCAATTGACTTACATGTAAAAGTAAACTCTAGCTTTGTAATTGTTTGTGTCACACTCACCATTTTGGGCTTATATACTGTGTGTGGTTAAGAGCTCTTTGTGATCCTGGTGTTTATATTGTCTTTGTATATTGACCAAT